TTCTTCTTCTTCTTCTTCTTCTTCTTCTTCTTCTTCTTCTTCTTCTTTTTGAGTGCGCTTCTGATCCGATATATACGGGCCGGACCCTGCGCCAGCTGGGCGCGCGTTAAAGGGGCGCCGCCCCACGACCACCCCCGCTGCCCGGGATGGCTCGGCGGGAGGGGGGATCCTCTGACCCGCCGGGGGTCTCGGCCGCCCCGAGGGCAGAAGGGAGGCGGCTGGAGCTGATCGCCCTCCCGGTGCCCAATTTGGGGAGGGGGCGCCCGGCTTCACTCCCCCGCCCGGGGGAAATTGAAACTGCCCAGGTCAGAGTTTCCCCCGCGGACGGTTCGTTCGTTAAAGGGAGAAATCGGGGTTTTTTTCTTCCTCCCTCCCCCTTTCCTTCTCTCCTTTTCCCTCTCCCTCTCTTTCTTCCCTCTCCTCCCCCTTTCCCCCTCCCCGTCCCTCTCTCTCTCTCCCTCCCTTTCACTCCCTCTCCTCCTCTTTCTATCTCCCTCCTTCTCTCCTTCCCCTTTTCCTACCCGTCTCTCCCTCCCTTCCCCTTCCTCTTCCTCTCCCTCCTCCCCCTCTCTCTTCCTCTCACTCCCTTCCCCTCTCCCTTCCCTCCCCTTTCTCTATCCTCCCTTCTTACCCCCTCTCCCACCTTTTCTCTCCCTCCTTCTCTCCTTCCCCTCTTCCTACCCTTCTCTCCCTCACTTCACTTTCCTCTTTCTCTCACTTCCCCTCTCTCTTCCCCTCGCTCCCTTTCCTCGCTCCCTCTCCTTCCCTCTCTCTTCTTTTCCACATTCATCTCTCCCTTCCCTCCCCTTTCTCTATCCTCCCCTTTCCCTATCCCTTCCTCCCTCTCCCTTCCTCTCTCATTCTCTCTCTCTCTCCCCCTCTTTCTCCTTCTCCTTCCCTTTCTCCCTCCCCTCTTTCCCTCTCCTCCTCTCTTCCTCCCATTCCCTCCTTTCCCCTCCCCCAGAGAGCGCCCCGGACCCCTCCTTTCAACCTGAGTTACACACCTTCTCCTTTCATGATAAAATGACATCCGATTCCTCTTCTTACACCTGAAGCAGGTGAGGAGCAGGTGTCCCTTTGTTCCTCTGGATGAAGATTTGGGGGCTCCTCCGTCATCTTCCCAGCCTGGAACGGAGAAACCTAGAGAAAGCCAGAAACCCAGCCGGTTCTACAAGTGCAACAAGGAGGATGCCAAATTGGTCGAAAACGCTCCCGTAATCCTGACGCTGCCACCCAAGAAAGTCAGCGACAAGGCGGTCATAACCGGAGGCGCCAGTTACCTGGGCTTTACGCTCGGCTGCGCTCTGGCTAAATCGGGAACCAAAGTCATTTTGTACGATTTTAATCCGCCCATCTGGGACCTTCCAAAGGGAATCATACTGATCAGGGTGGGTCTCCTTTCTGCCCCTGGGACGGGGAGGGAAAACCCACCAAAGCAAAGATATCTGGGTGGTAATCCCTTGCAGGTAATCCTCGACTTACAACAGTCGGTTTAACAACGGTTCAAAGTTAGGATGGCCTGGGGGGTGGGGAGAAGGGAGGTATGACCTGGATTCGCACTTAGAACTTTGGTTGCTAAATCAATTGTTGTAAGTCAAGGAATCTCTCTCTGTCTCTCTTTCTCTCCCTCCCTCTCTCCCTCTCCCTCTTTCTCTTCCTCCCTCTCTCCCTCCCTCTTTTTCTCTCTCCCTCTCTTTCTCCCTCCCTCTCTGTCCCTCCCTCCTTCTCTCCCTTCCTCTCTCTCCCTCCCTCTCCCCCTCTCTTTCTCTCCCTCCCTCCCTCCCTCTTTCCCTCTCCTCTCTCTTTCTCTTCCTCCCCCCTCTCTCTTTCTCTTTCTCTCCCTCCCTCTGTCTCTCCCTCTCCCTCTCTCCCTCCCTCTTTCTCTCTCTCCCTCCCTCCCTTTCCCTCTCCTCTCTCTTTCTCTTCCTCCCTCTCTCTCTCCCTCCCTCTTTTTCTCTCTCCCTCTCTTTCTCCCTCTCTCTCTGCCCCCTCTCTCCCTCCCTCTCTCCTTTTCTCTCTCTCCCTCTCTTCCTCCCTCTTTCTCTCCCTCCCTCTCTCCCTCCCTCCCCCCCCCACATACACTGGCGACAACAATCAAACCATCCACTTGATGGGCTCTGTCGCTCTCTTGACGTCCCCAGGCTGCTTGGCCAAACCAATTCTTCAGATCTTTCAAAAGAGGATCAAAATGGAAGCCATTTTTTTTCTCTGTGGGAAGGATATTCCACAGGGAGGACATCACCACAGAGAAGGAAGGCCCTTCTTCTGGGTCCCACCACACGGGGCTCCTTAAGATAGGGGACAATCCGTACTTCTTTGCTCTGGTGGGTTGGATAGATATAAACTGAGAAAAGACCATCCTTCAAATAAATTGGCCCCCAAACCAGGGAGCACTTTGAATTCCCCGGCCAATTTGAAAAAGACGGTTCTGGGAGTTATAGTTGGAGTCACCTGGGGGGGTGGAAAATATGGAGACTTTTCCTCCAATGAGACACACATACAAGTTTTCTCCTGCCTTACAGTCGGACGTGAGAAACTTTAGTGACTTGTATTCAGCCTGCGAAGGTGTGGATTGTCTCATCCACACAGCCTCGTACGGGATGACCGGCATAGAACAAGTGAGTCCAGTTTGATTTTCCTTCCTTCGGTAGCTCCGGAGTTTTGCAAACGATGCAGGCTCTCTTGAAGATGAGAAGTTTATTCTGAAACCAGGAGACGGTGAGTTCTAGTCCTGCTTTAGGCACAAAAACCAGCTGAGTAACTTTGGGCCAATCACCAGGAGGCAGTGAATTATAGTCCCACCTTGACCATGAAAGTCAGCTAGTTGATTTTGGTCCAATCACCAGGAGAGGGTGAGTTCTAGTTCTGCCATAGGCATGAAAGCAAAGTGGATGACTTTGGGCCAATCATGCTCTCGCAAGTCTAATCCACCTCACAGGGCTGTTTTTCTTGGGAAAATAGAAGGAGGAAAGGGCATTAGGTATGCAATTCTAACAGCGGGGACTGACCTTGGAGTCAAGGTCAGCAAATAACTCTGGACATCTGACCCGCCAACGAAAAAGAAATGCAACATTTCGAAAGTATTTCCAGGACCTTCTGCCGTAACTGCTCGGGGAAATATATAAGGGGATAGAGCAGTGCTTTTCAACGTCAGTCTCTTTAAGATGCGTCCGCTTCAACTCCCAGAATTCCCTTGCCCAGGGAATTCTGGGAGTTGAAGTCCATCTGTCTTAAAGGGGCGGAGGTTAAGAAACACCGGAATAGAGCAACTCCTTTTCTGTGTTGTTGTGACGTGTTCTTCCTCTTCTCCTAGCTGCACAAGAAGCGCATTCGGTCGGTCAACATTGGAGGGACCGGAATCGTCCTTGAAGGTGTGTTAAGTGGTGTTTTGTGTGTGGTTGTGATGATGGTAGGTGACTCCCCCCCCGCCTGGTGTGATTTGAACCCCCAACCTTGCCCCTTTCTTTATCTCCCCCAGTTTGCAAGAGGCAAAGGATCCCCAGGTTGATCTACACCAGTACAGTCGACGTAGTCTTTGCCGGACAAACGATCGTGGACGGCGATGAAGCGACCGTATCCTATGTTCCTTTAGAGCAGGTACGACGTCCAGCTGAAATAAATTCTAGGTAGGCCTCAGCTTACAACCACAATCAGGACTGGAACCTCAGGGGCGAAGAGAGGCGGTCATTAAGTCACACCCGATTTGGGGGCCTTTTTTTTGTCACGTCATTAAATGAATCAAGCGGTCGTTAAGTGAGCCCGGCCTTCCCCATTGACACTGCTTGTTGGAAGCCAGGTAGGAAGGCTGCAAATGGGGAAATCCCACGACCCCAACGATCCTAAATACATGCCAGTTGTCAAGCACCCGAATCCTGATCAGGTGACCACAGTCGTAAGTGCAAGGACTGGTGGTTAAGTCCCTTCTTTTTAGTCCTGTCGTACCTCCGAGCAGATGGTCGTAAGTCAAGGACTGCCTGTACTTTTTAGCACTGAAGGAAGGAACTAAGCAGCTGATTTCTGCCCCCGGTTGAAAAATTTTGCACGAGTGTGCCAGGTTTTCCCGAACTCCAGGTCCTTGAAACATTTTGGAGTGTGCAATTCAGCCGGTTCGCACCAGTTCACACGAACCGGTAGCAAGGATTTGGTATCTGTCGCCAAACCGGTAGTAACTTCTGGCTGGCCACGCCCCCCAACCTGGTCGCCCAGTCACCACTCGCTTGCCCCACCTACCTGAAGCTCACTTGCCCTCATTTGTGTGTGTGTGTGTGTGTGTGTGTGTGTGTGCGCGCGCGTGCATGCTGCAAGAAGCAAAAAGGGAAAAAAAACAGCCACGCCCACCTAGTCACATGGCCACGCCCCCCGGCCACATCCCCTGTCCACGCCCACAGAACCGGTAGTAAAAAAATTTTTTGAATCCCACCACTGGGCCAATCACAATTCTGAAGCCAAGGTTTATTTTTTATTTTTTTTGGCTTTTGAATATCCCTCTTTTTCTTTCTCTTTCTCTCTCTCTCTCTCTCTCTTTTAGCAAGTTAATGAATATTCCCGGACGAAAGCAATCGCAGAACAAATGGTCTTGGCGGCGAATGGATCCTTCCTGCCAGGTGCTTCTCTGCAAGTTCTGCCCTTCATCTCTTTCCCTGCCACCTTTTTACAGTTCAAGAAACTAGGGAGGGTTTCTTTTGGGATGTTTGCCATGTCCCTTTCCTTCGGAGGGCTCAGCTGCCTCTTCTCGGATACTAGCTCGATACCCGTACCTCGCTGTGAAACTATGTAGTTGGGCTTAGTTTTGGGGGGAGTAAAATAAGGGGGAAAATTCTGCCTCTGCCTACCAGCATCCATTGGTATTCATAGTGTCCTGTCAGTGGATAAGAGAGTTGAGGGCTGTTTGGAAACGGAAGCATTATTTGCTGCGTGAGCAAGAAGAAGACAGCAAGGAGCCTGGGCGTGGCTTAGCTCAACTGTTCTGGACTAAAGCTGGTTGCTGCTGTGAAATTAAAACTGAACCTGACACTCCTCTCCTCTGCTTGTCTTTTGCATTTGGAAGAGATTTCTTTTCAGGTGGGGAGGGGGAGTAGAACTCCTTAGCATCAGAGAATAATAATAATAATAATAATAATAATAATAATAATAATAATAATAA